GGCGTCCCCCCCCGCGGGGGTGTGTGGTGCTGCGGTCCGTGGCTCAGGCAGCTGGAGCAGGGGGAGCTCAGGAGAGAAGATGGAGGACGCCAGGGTCTGGCGCTGGCCCGCTGGGCACAGCTGCGCGGTCTCCCGTGACTCAGACGTGGTGCCCAGCAGCGTGGCGTCCCTAGCAGACCCTCAGGGCAGGGCAGGGCCACGGCGGACACCCGACTCTTCAGCCCCTCATCCACAGCATGGCCCCCACCGCCAAATTGAGGAAAGCCCCTTGACTTTGAGTGTCCCTCTGGCATTTCATCCTGGGTCTCGCACTCTCCCTACGACATGCATCTCCCTGAGTGGCCTTGCAACTCAAGTGGGGAATCCCACTGGGGTGCAGCCTCAGATCCTCCCAGTGTCGAGGGAAACACATCCCACGCGTAGAGATGTCGTTACTGGGTTATTCTTGGTGAAGGGCTGAGCTTCCCCATCACGCTAGATAGGATATGAAATTCTACCCAAACACCCCTCGTCTGCCTCCAAAAATAAAAATAACAACAACTGAGAACGTATAGACAAATTATTTTAGTCCTTTAGTACAGTCTGTTATCTTCTTCACCTCCAGAACAAAAACCAAACTCCTGGTTGGACAGCGTCAAGAGATGTCACTGAGGTGACCCCAGCCTCTGTTTGCAGTTCCAAGTCTTCCGTGTAGGCGTCACTGCTACTGGAACTTTGTAGATGAGGAGCCTGTATGATGATGTCCTGAACGTTTTCTATCCTTTCCTCACACAGAAGTAGCTACTGGGAATATCAGAGACAAGCTATTATTAACAAGTGCCTCCAGTCCAAGAAGTCTCCTGTGGTAGGGAAATGAGGGGGCAGGCTGTATCAGTGATATTTTTATAAACTCTGGCTTTTAAAAAACTCAGATGGACATACTATTTCAAGACTTCAACATCTTTCAAAACCAACTGACTCTTATCCCCTCTGTTTATTCCCCTCCAGACACTTCTAATCAAGGTCACCATCTCCAACTTTCCCCATACATACACAATAAAAATAATATGGCTGCAGAATTCTATGGTAATAGAAACAAAAGAGGTAATTTGACTGTTTCCTTTTCACCCTCTACACAAGTATACCCTCCCACTCTTTCCTCCCCTCAGTCACCAGAAAGAAGGGGCTGGACAACGTTGGTCTGGTTCCTTTTAGAGCGGATTCCCCATTGGATACTGCCTGGAGGCCTTGGGGATGAATGAGAAGTTCTGCAGTTGGGATCAGTAGCACAAGCAGGTAACGCACCAGGGAACTGGTCAGCCTAAGACAGGAGGGGACAGAAATTGATGAAGAGTTTCTGATATGTTCCTCAACTAAACTGCTACAGTGGCCCCCAGGTCTCTTTCAGAAAGGAAAATAAAATGCTTCATGAAACCCAAATTTATATGTTCACACAAGATAAGAAGGGAACTAAGATGTAAACCTAAGGAATTAACTAGAGGTAAACTAAAACCCTTATTTTCTTGTTGTAACCTCGGCCAATATGTGTCCTTTTATTTCAGTCAGTGGATTGCAAATCTCTGCTTCTTCCCTGTCTTAACACATTCACTTCAAGATCTCTGCAACGCCGCTACAGTTTTCCTCCCCCACTCTCACAGCCTCTCCTCCCTAGCTGCTGCCTTTGGTGAAAATGAAGCTTCAGGATGATGAAAACTAGTACTTAATGAAGACCATTATTCTAATGACAATATTGCTGGACTCTCTTGAACTTCTTATCCTGGGATCTAGAAGCCCTTTCCCCAGCAACCTTTCTCACAGCACCTCTGGGAAGGGGTTTCCCCACTAACAGGAAGTGGAGGTCAAAGTGAAAACAGTCCAGTTCTCATTACTGAAGAGCTGAAATTCAGAAGTATCACTTTTTCTTGAGGAAAATGGCTAATTTCATCTCTATCTATAAGACAAAACCAGAATTCCTGATTATTCCCCAAGCTTTTCCTTAAAATAAAAAAATTTATAATCTTTTAAATTCAGGTGAAATTTTAAATACTGGGATTTTTTTTTTTCCTTCTGGAAAATTTGAAAAGTTTGGAACAAACATTCAAAAACAATCCATTCCAACTGTTAGAAAAATATAATGAAATCAGTAAGTTCAAAACTCCATCCCCACATAAAAAAGAGGCATTTCTACCTTTAGGACAGACAATAGCTTTAGCCACAAACAAAAAGGAGCCCCTCTTCAAGCCAGCTTCCACAGATTATACACTGGCATCCAGTCAAGACTACAGATATCTAAAGACACAGTGAATTCATCTTGATTATGATAAACAACTTTTGGTGAATGAATCAATGTTACTTTCAGATGAATATCTTAAAACGTTTGGTGTCTAAACCAAAAATATTATGTGCCCACATCTACCCAAACAAAAGTCAGATCCCCAACTTGCCCTATTCAGGTTATTCTCTCTCCCAACCCACCCCAAGTTATATAACCTGTCACCTAACCTGCCATGGCCTTAGTCTCATCTGGAAAATGAGAACAAAATAACTGTCTCACAAGGGCCACCTGTGGATTAAATGAGAAATGTATGTAAGATGCTTACAACATTTCCTGAAATAGATGCTAAGTAAATATTTTCACTGGTGCTACTGAGTAGTTCTAGTTAACTTTGGGGCTGGGAACTCTGCACATCAGCTCTGAGCCAGTTAATCATTCCTTTCACTTTCCCGCCAAGTGACAGGTTTTTCTTCCATCCCTTCTTAAAAGAGCCCTCAGGTAAATGCCTTAACTGTTAATGACATATAACAGAGGAAGCTGCTTTTTAAAGATCTATTGTTCCATAAACAACTTTTTAGCATATATTAGAAAGCAAAAGACAAGGTGAATAAGGGGAAACAAGACTTCCTTCCTTCCTAGTTGGAGAGGATTTTAAAGTTCTGTGAATACATTAAGGATGTGGATTACATACTTAGAGTCCTAGGAATAGAAAGCATCTCTGCTGTCAATTACAAGTCCCCAGGTTAGACTGCTCAACAAACCAAAAATGAATCATATCCAAAACTTTCAGTGGAGAATATCTAGTTAGAAGCTTGAAATTGGAAGTTAATGGACTAATTCTGCAAAAAAGCAGAACTATAATCTAATAGTAAAAACCAAGATTTTTGATATTTAGAAATACCAAAAAAGCATTGGTCAACAAGAAATGCAGCCCTTCCATATCAGCCTCAGTGCAACCCGGGAGAAAAAGAAGTACACTCTTACAAGATCAAAGTGACTGCACTTCCCCCCGAGCCCCCCTCCCCAAGCTTCTCTGGGAGGAAAGCAGAAGTTACCTCTCCTCCCCTTCCAATTCACATCACCCGCCTCTCCCCTGACAGCTGGATAACCACACTAGGGCTTAAGGTCAGTTGCCTGTGGCCCATGTGGTCATAAGTCAGGTTTGTGTTTCACCTCTACCACCTAAAATGTCCCCTCTAGTTATTTCTGTTTTAACTGGCAAGGTGAGGAAGGGGAAATAAGCACCCCCCTCAAACACCTATTTAAGTACCTTGACAGAGTCACACAGAGCAAAGGAACAGAGAACATCTACCCATTTTCCTAGTAGACACTGAGTTCAACTGGTAGTTGAGAGTTCTCCTCTCTTTCCTTTCTCTCTCATTTGCATAGAAAAGTTTTGCTTTGTCATTCAGGCTGGTCTCTAACTCCTGGCCTCAAGCGATCCTTCCACTTTGGCTTCCCAAAATACTAGGATTGCAGGTAAGCCACTGCACCTGGCCAGAGTTTTCTTAATTAAAACACTATTGTTTCTAAGAAGGGTCACATACCTAAGACTTCAAAAATGAGTCCAAAGCAATGGAAACACATAACATTTAACTCTTCTTGAAAGACACTGGCAAAAGTCAATGCTAAACTTAACAGCTTCACCCATAAAACATTTGCGTAGAAATACTAACTTTCATGCCAGGTGAGGTGGCTCAGCACTTTGGGAGGCTGAGGTAGGAGTATCTCTTGAGCCCAGGAGAATGAGACCAGCATAGGCAACATAGCGAGGCCTCATCACTACAAAACATCAATAAGTTAGCCAGACATGGTGGCGCATGCCTACAATCCCAGCTACTCAGGAGGCTGAGGCAGATCACTTGAGCCCAGGAAGTTGAGACTGCAGTGAGCTGTGATCATGCCACTGCATTCTAGCCTGGGCAAAAGAGTGAGACCCAAACTAAAAAAAAAAAAAAAAGAAAAGAAAAGAAAAGAAAAACGTTCGTTTTATAACTATTAAATGACAGAGGAGAATATCCAACAAATATCAAGCAAAATAGCACAACTACAGATGGAAAGAAACTAAGAAGGTCAAAAATATACCAAGTAAGAAATTCAATACAACTGGAAAACATATTCTCAGGCACCAACATTTCTCCTTTGGACACCTGTTCTTCACTGCCCTCAGATGGCCCAGGACTGGGGTAATGGCAGAGCTTAAAAAAAAAAATTGACACTTAACAGGTCACACAAACTTGGTGGGCCTGGTCCACACTACAAAGATTAGCTCAGTTACATTACTGTGCTAATAGTAAAAAAATAAACTAAATCCTTACATAAAGTTTCTGTGAGGCTGGGCCACTCATGCCTGTAATCCCAGCACTTTGGGAGGCCGAGGCAAGAGGATTGCCTGAGTCTGGGGTTCGAGACCAACCTGGGCAACTTGAGGAGACCTTGTCTCTACAATAAATAAATAAATAATTAGTTGGGTGTGGTGGTGCATGTTTGTGGTTCTAGCTGCTTGGCAGACTGAGGCAGGATTGTCTCTGAGACTGGCAGGTCAAGGCTGTGGTGGCTGTGAGCATGCTACTGCAGTCCAGCCTGGCCACAGAATGAGACTCCGACTCAAAAAAAAAAAAAAGTTTTTTTCTGGTACAGACTAGACTCCCTTCTCAGTGGCTACAACCTCCACCCTAAATACATTCCCCACTGGGTAAAAGAAGGAGGTAATAACCACTAAACAGATTGTCACCCATCTTCATTACCAGAGAAACAAAGAAACGTTATTCATGTGCAAAAAAAAATATTGTTAATTTCTGTCCAAATGTTCTTGTGAAGGGTAGAAGCATGGCAAAAACACTCTACCAAACTCCAAGAGAAACATCTCCCTTCAGTTTCTTCCTCACTGGGTCAATTTGATCTTCAACAGAAGATCCCTCGATTCTTGGCAGTGAAGGGAACAAGAAATATTGAAACAGGTGTGGAGGAAGCTATGCAGTATGTTCCTCAGGGAAGAGATGAGCAGCAGTGACCAAAGACACAGACAGGACATCACCTGACTAGCCAGACTAAGCTTTGGGAAAGCTGCCCCATTCTAGGAGGCAATGGCAACAGATGGCAATACAAGGCCTGGACACGTAAGACCAGGCTAAGGCTCCAGAAGAAGAAATTCACTTCTTTGAGGACATCTCTTGACCCTGAGAAGTCTCTGAAGTAGAAACTGCCTCGAGTTCTACATTCAGTCATCTGGCCCAGGCATCAAAGCAGGTAGAGGCCTGGTGAGCTGATTGTTAAGAACTCTACACAGATAACAGCTGTGCTTAGCATTTACTTTTTTTTTTTTTTGAGTTGGAGTCTCACTCTGTCACCCAGACTGGAGTACAGTGGCTGCTCCCAGCCACCGCAGCCTTGACCTGCTGGGCTCTGGCGATCCTTCCGCCTCAGCCTTCCAAGTAGCCAGAATTACAGGCATGCGCTACCACGCCCGGCTGATTTTTTGATTTATTGTAGAGATGAGGTCTCGCTGCCCAGGCGGGTCTCGAACCCGCGGGCTCAGGCAATCCACTCACCTCAGCCTCCCAAAGGCGCGGGATTACAGACTGAGCCGCCAAGCCCGGCTCAGCATTTACTTTTTAAGTTGTGAATAAATAACACATGAAGCTTACCTACTACAGTCCACAAACACTGTTTGAAGCACTTCACCCTTGGGTGCCTGAGTAATGGCAGCAAGTTCTCTCTGCTAGTCCTGAAGGAAGAAGACCAGAATTCCTCGAGGGCAGGATAGATTTTTGACCTGATGAACAGCTTACTAAGGTACACAGGGAAGAATTTGTTTTTTTTTTTCCTCTGAAGCACCACTAGTCTCTTTTAACAAAGTACACAGGGCCCTTCTTAACTAGTTGACAGATGTTAATTAGCCTCCTATCCCCAGGGCCTGACCCTGCCCTCTGCTAGCTTTTTATTTTACTGACCTTATATAAGTCCCACCCCCTCAGTTTCCAGCTGCTTCCTCTTATTTCTTCAGCTTCCTTTTCCCTTCACCTTTCCTTTCACTTTCTCTCCCTCAGAGAGCAGATGGCAAGTTGTCAATCCAAGACAGTGAAAACATTCCTGAGCATCAGGTATAAAACAAGCCCAGAAACAGACACTGCGGGGTTGCAATACAGAATACACATTATTTCTGCTGTTTAGTAGTTTGTACTTTATATGGGAAAGGCATAAGCTACTTGTTCCTCATACATAAAAGAATATTTTCAGGTCAATATATTGATAGATAAGATAAAGGACAAAACAAAAGCCAAAAACCTTAGTGATACTTCTTAGGAACAAGAGGACTGTTTGCTTCAGAACTGACTTTTATTTCTACAGCACTGTCCATGGTCTTCTACATAGTATCTCTAGTGAAACTGGTGCTAAAGCCTGAGAAAGCCCATGCATGTTCTATACATGCTTATTTAGCGGAGGCGGTTACTCTTAAGTACACAAAAGAAGGGTTCTGGTTGGTACTACAACCTGTGATTAGTCTTCTAACCAAAGAACTGAGAAAATTTAGGCAAACTTGACCAATATTGGATAGGATTGGGATTTGTTCCACAGTCATCTCCTTAAAATAGCTTGAGAGTTTTGAGATGGAAACTCACCTGGGCACAAGTCCACATCTCAAATCAGTGGTTTATTCTTAACTTAGTAGTCTCTCCCAGTGGCTTGAATAGCCCTGGTAAACACTCAGTCCCAGAGTTATCACATGGACGACACACATCTAAAGAGA